GGGGAGGCCTCCAGTCATCTGTGCCTCTCTGCCTGGGGTTGAATGTCTGCAGGTGATTAAGGAAGCTTCCTGATGATTATCTCGGTATCTCTTGAGTGGAACTTTACTTTCACTCTAGGCTTCCATTCTAAATGGGACTAATGACCATTTGAGATGCAGATTCCACAGCAACAGCTCAGTGTCTTACAGGAAGGGCCCTTATAACCTGGTTCATTTGCTCCCCTCTCTACAAATGCCCCCCCACCCCCATCCTCTGCACAAGTTCAAGACCTGGGAATCGTGGCAGATGCCTTTCTACCACCATCTAATTTTAAGCCATCACCAGTTTCTAGCAATTTTGGATTCTAAATGATTTGGGTTCTTTAGTCCTGTCCATTGTCACCCTCTCCAGTCCAAGCCCCCAGAGGTTTTTTTTGCAATATCCTCTAGAGGCACCCACTCCAGTCCTGCCTGCCTGCCATTCTGTTTTCTACACTGTAGCTAGAGTAGCCTCTTACAAATATTCTTCTGAATTCACCCCACCCCTCCCCCTCCACATAATTTCCTACTCCTGCCCTAAACCATTCAGTGGCAATTCCTCTTTTTGTATCACTCTTTACTCCAGACATACTGGTTTCACCTGTGCTCCCTCTACCCCAGGGCCTTTGCATCTGCTGTCCTCAGTTTCACTATCCCTCTTGGCTTAGGTAACTCCACTTATCCTTAGGGGAATCCTTTCCTGATGGTTTCTCACCCTACCCAAATCTGAGTCCAGATCCTTTGTTACATGTTCTTACAGCAGACTTTCTCTTTCCTTCCTCACTTAGCTTGCATTCTTATTTGGAGGTTGCTTATTTATTTAAACTCTTGTTCCCCAGGAGATTGTAAACTCCACAATAGGAACAATATGTCTCTTTTAGCTCACCAGTAGGTCCCTAAAATCCAGTATATTGCCTGGCACATAGCAGGTGCTTTATTCATACTTGCTGAATGACTGAATGAGTTCATATAATCCCCCTCCTGAGTCCGTAAAAATCTCCCCTGAGGCCAGTTTTGACCTCCTTCAGCACACACACTCCTGGCATTATCAGATAAAGAAATGCTGAAAGACACTAAGGGCTCTGGAGCCTGACTGACTGGGTTCAAATCCCCCCTTTGCCACTTCCCAGCTGTGTGACAGTGGGCAAGTTCCTTGATATCGCTGTCGTTTCTTCTTCTGTAACATATTGGTGATAATAGTATTTGTCTCATGGGGTTGTTGTAGGATCAAATGATTTGGCTTCTAGAATATGCTTTTATAAGGGCCTGACACATAGTGAGAGCCCCACTGATCTTTGTTTTTGTTAGTATGATTAACAGAAAGAGTTGAGATTCTGGGATTAGATGAGTCTGGTTTTCTCTCATATTTGCACACCATTCCCTGTGTCAATTTGGGCAAGTCAAGTCACACCCCTGGACCTACTTCCCCATCTGTTAAATTGAGACCACAAGGCCATTGTGGGAGTGAGAGAGGAGACTGAAGCACTTAGCAGAGTGCCCAGTGCCTGGCAGTCCCCTTCCTGATGGGCTGAATCAGTCTCTGTTGCCTTTTAGATAAGAAATTCCCTGAATATTGTTTCACATCTGCCTGTTTAGGGCTGTTATCCCGAGTCCCTCTGGACCTGGTACATGGTGTTCAATAAATAGTTCTTTACTGAATGAATGAATCAGGGATGGCGGGGCCATGCTTTGCTCATCTTTGTGTCCAACCTGAGACTAGTCCAGCACCTAGCATGTAATTTCAATAAATGTTTGTTGACAGAGTAGATTTTCTAAATGGCTATTCATTTCCGCTCCTAGTCCTACTTGAGTTTCTGAATTAAACCCAGAAAGATACTTACTGACTTATCCTAAATCTTTCTAAGTTTTAGTGTTCTTATCTGTGAAATGAGGCTATTAATATCTTCCTCTTAAGATTGTTCTGAAAAGTAAATGAAGCAATATGTATTTAGCACAAAAAACTGTTTTCTCGGCATTTCCTTCCCCCAGCCTTGGTTTCCTCATCTGTGAAATGGGTATCTACTTATTCACTTCTTCATTCATTCATTCAACAAACTCATTGCCCGTGTACAGGGCTTGTAGTTAAGAGCCAGGGCAGTTAGAGACAAGCCATGGCCCCTGCCATCTGCTGCCGGTCAGCACACTAATAGTAAAATTCCAGCGAGAAGAGGTACGTATGTGTGAGTCCTAGTAAGGCCAGTAGGTAGAGATGGAGACCTCCAGGGTCTCAGCCAGCTCGCTAGGGAGACTGTAAAGCATGGAGTCACCACCTCAGTATAATCAGTTTGAAACGGAGTTGTCTCCTGTGACCTCAGATTGTTGCAGCCTGAGTCTGTCTGTCCTGCAGCAGACCCAGTTTCTGACTCAGCAGCATACCAGAGACTGGCTCAGCTGCTCCAGGCCAGCCTGGTCTCCTGCTCCCTCTGAGAGACCAACAAACAGAGTGGTGCAGGCAGGGTATAGGGTGTGTGGGGTGCTGGGTTGCTCCCAGTCCAGAGAAGACCCAGTAACCAGTGGGACTTCTCAGAGTTCTAAACAGTAATTCCCTATACTCTCAACAATATGGGGTGCCCCAACAGATGCTGGGGTCCTGCCTGCCTCTTCAAAGATGAGCCTGGCCCATCCCAATGGGGGAAACCAGTAAGGAGATGCTTGGGCATTGGGGTCAGGAAAGGCCCCTGCTAAATCTCTGGGTTCCTTGTATCTGACGTTCCCTGCTGGTTTCTGGGAACTGACTCCTGCCAATCACCTCACTAGAGTCTGAAACATCTGAATTAGAAGCTCGCATTTAAGCTGGGAGTGTACTTGTGGGGTTGGAAGGGACTATTTATCTCCAGCCGCCAAATCATTTGCACCTGTTACCCAGAGCCATCTTCTTTCCAACTGAAGGAATTTACCAAGGATATTTGAATATCAGGGGAGGGTCTGCTGACCAGAGGTGACCTGACCAGAGGAGAAGGATGCTTGAATCCCAAAGGCCCAGCCTGTCCTAGCAGGTCTCAGGGAGCAAGCAAGATTTACTAGGTGAGCGCCTGCCTGGGTTGTTTCTTCTGTCAGGAAAGGCCTCCCTGCAGTATTTTCTGTCTCGTCAACGCTGCATTTCATTTTAAATTGCAGCTGAAAGCAGATATTTTCCCTCTTGCCTATTACACCTCTTAATTTGTCTCTCCCTCTGCTGTTATTTGTCTCTATAAAGTGTTTTGCCTGAAAGACCCACACAGCACAACGTTGCTTTGCCCTGGGTTAGCTTTAACATTAAGAGGAGACACAGAGAGACTTGAGTCCAAGGAGGAGGATGCAAAGGCCCTGCGGTGAGATACACAGGCTTGGGAACATAGGCCACATAGTGTATCCATGTCTGTTGTGTGTCTGTGGGTCTGTGTGTGCACACATCAATAGCTGTACCTAATATGCAGATGTGCCTCTGCATGTTTTAGCCTAACCATCAGCGTCCATCCCTAAATTGTGTAGGTTTGTGGGCAAATACACACCCATATGCAACCTGAGTGCATCTGTGCCCTGCATAGGCGCACACGTGTGCACAGAAACACATATGGCATCCAGGCATGCTCCTCACATGAGGCACGTTGGCCTCCTGTGCGCAAGGCCAGGGTTCTCTGCTTCCTTGCCCTGGCACCGATGCTGTCAGCACCTCTGCCTGCCCCACCCAGGGGCCCTGGCCCGGCCTGAGGCTGTGGCGAAGGCAGGCAGAGCAGTGGCCCGCGGGGGGCCGGTGGGCACACTGAGCCCGGCCCAGCTGTGGCCCCAGCTCGCTGGCTGGGCTCCAGCCACCCCTTGCGCACAGCCCGCCGCCGCTGCAGCATCGCGGCTCCTGCTCGGGTGACCCCAGGGGAGCAGGGGCGCGGGCCCCCCACTCCCTGCCGATCCCGGACTGGCACGGAGGGGGAGAGAGGTCGCCGCACGACGGCCAGAGCGCTCCGGACTCGCCGGGTCCCCCGGCCCCTCGGAGGACCCTCCAGCCGGGCGGTGCGGGCGGGGGCGGGGGCGCGGGTCGCTCCCCGGCCGGAGGACGCTGGGCAGCAGCCAATGGGCGGCCGCGGCCCGCCGGGGCCCGCGGAGGCAGCCAATGACCTCGCGCCGCTCTCCGCGCCGCCCCCGCCCGCCCGCCCCGCGCCGCCGGACCCGGGGCGCCGCGGGCCGGGGGGGCGCGCGGCGGGGCCGGGGGGCGGGGCCCGGGGGCGTCTCTGCCCGCCCCGCCGAGGCCGGCGCCCCGAGCCCCGGGCCCGCCCATTGGCCGGGCGGCTGCGCGGCGGCGGCGCCGGACCGCGGGGCGCGCGGCGGGCGGGGCCAGGGGCGGGCGGCGGGGCGGGGCGGCGCGGGCTCCGGGCAGACCGAGCTGCGGCGGCTCCGGCGAGGCTGCGCGCGAGCGGGGCGCAGCGCGGCGGCGGCGCGGCTCGGCCTGCGGCGGGGCGGCCGGTCCGAGCGGCCGCGGGGGGACGCGCGCTGCGGGCGGGAGGCGCGGCCCGGGCCGCGCGCGCCGCGGAGCCGGCGGGGCCGGGAACAGGTGATCCCGCCGCGCCCGCGCCTCGGCCGGGGGGCGCCGCTGCGGCCGGCGCGGGCTCCGGAGCCGGGGCTCGGGCACCTCCGCGCCGGGGCCCGGGCGGCCGCTGCCCGCGGGCTGAGAAGTGCCGCGCCCGGCGCCCGCCCCGCCGCGGAGCAAAGTTGTGGACGTGTCCGGGGGCCCCGCGCGCCCCGAGCCGGGCCCCTGCCCGCCGCGCCCGCGGCCGAAACTTTGGGCCGAGGCCCGGGGCGCCCTCCGCGCCGACGGCGGGGCGCGCGGGCGGCATGTGACGGCCGCGGCCGGTCGTTGCGGGCCCGGGCCCCGCGCGGGGTCCTCGCCGCGAACTCCCTGAACTTCGGGGCGCAACTCCCAGGGACCCGCGCCCCCGGCGGCGCCCCGCGACGACCGCCGACCCGCGCCGGGACCCCGCGCGCTGCCGCCCGCCCCGGGCGCGGCCGCGATGCTCGCGAGGAAGGCGCCGGGCTTCGTGCCGGCCCCGCCGTGGGGGCTGCGGCTGCCGCAGAAGTTCCTCTTCCTCCTGTTCCTCTCGGGGCTCGCCACGCTGTGCTTCGGGGCGCTCTTCCTGCTGCCCAGCTCCTCGCGCCTGAAGCGCCTCTTCCTGGCGCCCCGCGCCCGGCCGCCCGGCCTGGAGGGGGTCCCCGAGGGCGCCGGCCGCCCCCCGGCCCGCGAGCGGGAGTCGCCGCCCGACCCCGCGCCCGCCGCGCCCGCCCCGGGCGGGGAGGACCCCGGCGGCCGGGCCGGCCCCCGCCGCAGAAAGGGGGCCCGCGGCGCACCCCCCCGACCCGGCCGCGGGAGGATGTCACGGCCGCGCGGGGCAGCAGCGCCGCGGCCCCGGGACCCCGGGACGGGGGCGCCCCGGGCAGCTTCGACTTCGGCGCCTTCCGGAGCCGCCTCCAGCACCCCGTCCTGGGAGCGGGGGCCGACGAGAGCGGACAGCCCCAGAGCCGGGTTCGAACCCAGCGGGAGAAAATCAAGGAGGTAAGGAGTCCTCATGCCCCCGGGAGAGGATGCTTCTGTGCGTCCGTCCGTCTGTCCATCCGTTTCCCCTGCCCCGGCCGCTCCTGGTCTCCCCCAGGCCCTCCAGGCGCTGCGAGGGCTTCGTGCTCCCAGACTTCGCGCCCTCAGCCGCCCCGCCTGCTTCCCACAGCTGGGTGCAGTTAATCATCCCCACACCTGACAGGTGGGAGCTGGACCACTGGCCCAGCTCCCCCCCCTCCCGCCCCCCCGTTCCCCGCTGTGGGCTGTCCAGGCCGGTCTCCAGCCCAGGGGGCTCCATTCTGTCTCTCTGTGGAGTTGCTGGGGAGAGTGAAGTTCAGGTTGTTCCTGGACACCCTGAGTCAAGGGCCACGTTCTTCCTCACCAGTGTATCCTCAGTCCTAACTTTCCCCAAGCCATTGTAGGATCTGCTACCTGAAAATCCAGGATTTGGGGGTGTATTTGGCATCCTGCAAATATTTTGTAATTTAGCCAGCACTACAAACCAGAGGATGTTGGTGCATTTTTGCTGTTTCTATTGAGCTTGGGAATAATTGTATATAATTGCATGTGATGCAGGAAGGATCAATAAGGCGGTGGTAATGTTACAGAAGCTCCGAGGTTATTGACTTAAAGAAGCGGGTCTTGGACTTGTTCCCTGTGGGGATTGTAGCGGAGCGGGGTTTAAAGGGATCACTTTGAGTCTGAGTCTTAGTTTAAGAAACCAAAACTAAGGCAGCCTTGCCAAGGCTTGAAGACTGTTGTCAGACCGCTGCTGCTAACTAAATAGCTCTGCCACCTTTAGAGCTGCCTGCCCCAGGTTTGTGCCCAGTAATGCAGAGGGGGCTGCAGTGACACCCCCAGACCACGAGGGGGCTGCTGGCAAGCAGTGGGCCAGGGTCTCCTCCCTAGAAATGAGAGGATGCTTTCTGCTCCTGCTGCTTGTCTGGACTTCTTGGTTTGCTGCAAAGGAGTCAGCAGGTCTGTCCTGATTTCCACAGGGGAGCAGCAGCAAGGATCAGGTCCTGCCCTGCCAAGACCTACTCAGAGCCTTGCAGAGTTTGGCTGCCCCCTCTCTTTGTCCAGATTGTCCTCCCTCCCAACACCTGCCTCTCCCCCACTTCTTATCTGCTGTTCTTCGGCCCTTCTGCACGAAGCCCCATTTGGAGATTGTCTTAATTAGAAATTGCAAGATGTTTTGTGAGGTCAAGATAGGAAACCATAAAAAGGGTCCATTTGTGTGTATGTGCGCGTGTGTGTGCTGCAAATGCACATGCTCTCAGTTTCCAAATTTTTGTGAAATCTCAAACGTTAATTGGACCTTGCAGTAGCTAAGAAGGAGCATAATTTCTTCACTTTTGGTTAAGGAACTGTGCTGTAGAATACTCACCCGGACCCCCTACAGCTCCCTTTCTCAAAGCTGCTTCTGAACACATTAGACTTTTCTACCTTCCAGGCCTCCTCGGAGGGCATTAACCCCCCCGCCAGTGAAATTACATGTAAACTGCATGTGTGCATTTTTCATGGGGTTCCAGAGCTGCTATTAGATTTTCAAAAGGATCCCGAAAAGATCAAGAATTAAATACTCTTCAGAAGAGGGGCTCCCTGCGTACACAGCTAGACCTGGCCCATTTCTGAAAGCCTGGGCTTGGGGTGGGAAGTGTGGGCTGGCTAGCAGGGAACCCGGCTCTGTCCCTTTAGACAAAGACAACTTCCTTGCCAGCAGAGGTCGTGGTGGTGACTTGCAGCCGCCACCACGGGAGTGGTGGGGGGTGCGCAGACTCTGCTTTGCGGGTAGGTGTAAATAACATGATGGGTGCAGGTCTCTGTCGGTTGTGGTAACTGGAGGCCTGCTTGCATGCACCTGTGGTTGATATTCTTACTATCTTGAAGGCCTTAAGCTTCCCCAAAGGGAGGGAGCTGCATTATAGGCATTATTCTATTTTGAAACCTATTGTCCCTTTAGGTTTCTTAAGTGTGATCCCTGTATACCCACTTCCCCCCAGAAAAACATGAAAAAATGTGGGGCAGAGTTTTTGGTGTAGCTGTTAACACCTACCCCCTGGTGTCACACCTAATAAGGAATGCATGTGACTTCTGTCTCTGTTGCCTTCTCATTTATATTTCTGTCTGTGCCGTGTCCAGGGTAGCTCATTTTAGAAAAGCACCTGTTTCCATAAAAGGGATGGTTGTTTTCCTCTCTGGCTTGTTTATTTCCAGACGTGGATTGATTAGACCCCAGGAGCAGAGGGCAATGAACATCAAATAGACAGGACTCTGTTCTTATGAGATGAGATTTTAAAAAAAAAAAAAAAACCTACAACATGGATTTTTTTTTTTTAAAGATTTATTTATTTCTTTATACAAGCACTGGGTACAGTCAGAAGCGCGGGAGGGTGAGAGAATTCACCAGAGCCAGAGCGGGGAGCAGAGCAGGCAGAAGGACCGAAGTACACTGCTGAGGGGAGCAGCGGGCGGCAGGAGAGGTCTGCGCGCCATGTGGGACCCTCCTCCGGTGGCCGGGGAGCAGCCGGGGATCGAACCGGCACTGCAGAGGCTGCGGGCAGCTTCACAACCCAGTGCTCAACCGCTGCGCCACTGGAGAGACCCTGAGATGAGATTTTTAAAGTGAAAGTAAATAACAAGAGAGAGTCAGAGGCGGTGATGAATGAGAGTGAATGAAGCCTGGACACAAGGGCACTAGATCCGGGAGGTGTATTTATAAACATTCGAGCCTGAGGGATGGGCGTGGGTCCGAGATCTCTGCTAAGATGGGTTGACACTGGATGTTCTGGGTGCCCATATATCAGGAAACAGTTGACCCTAGAATCAACAATTCTTGCTTCACATCTTTGGTACCTTGGCGGAGGCAGCGAGGTGGAAAGGGGGAGACCGAGAAAACATGGATTGGAATCTCAGCTCCACTGTCAACTGCATGACTTTGGGCGAAGCACCTCCTCTCCTTCCTGGGCCTTATTTTGCCTTCACAGAACAGGCTGAGGCAGGAGAGCCGGCTGGCACATGCACTCTTGCCTCCAGGCCTGGCTCCTGAGTGGGCGCCCAGGCTGCTCGGGGGCTCCTTTGCAGCAGGGCTTTTCCCAGCTCACTTTTCAACATGCCATGAAGTTGGGAACAGTGGGGTGTCGTTGACGGTGGTGGCATTCACTGCTATATGCCCAGCACCTAACCAAGAGTCGATACTCGTTCATTTCATCAATTAAATTAATTATTCCTGCCACCATACGGAACTTTAGAGATGGAATTGAGCAGTGAAAGAACCTCAGCTTGGGACTGTGGAGAGTAAAGGGATTGATGAGAATGTAAAATGCCTGTTTAACCGCCTTCCCTTTCAGATCTGATGATAATATGGGAAATTCTTGGCATAATTATTATGGGGCCTTGACATAGTTAGGTTTCTTATGGATTTAAGGTTAATAGACTTTTCTCACGCATGGCAAGAGCTGAGAGTGAATGTATGGCTTGTCAGGGTCACATCCCAATAAAAAGATTCAAGCTCTCCTGGATCCCAGTAGTGATGGTTGGTTGCTGATTTGGGGAACCTCAGCTTTCCCTTCCAGTGAGGAGCCTTTTGTCGAAAGGGACTGGGCAGTCTGGGCGGGGCAGTGAAGTCACTGTGCTGCAGTAGGCTTGAAGAAGCGGGGTTGAATTCACCCTTAACCCTCTCCCCTCCCCCCCATAACTGTTGTTATGTGGCTTTCCCACTGAGACCCCAACCAGGGTTCCAGTCCTAGCCACACCATTAACTCTGACCTCAGGGGGAAATTTCTGTTTATTAGTGGGTCTCAGTTGTCATGGTAAAATGATGAGACTGGCATTTTGGGGACTCTTCCTGCTGTCCCACCTGTTTGTCTTGTTTCTGGATCTGCCTGAGCTCCTAGAAAGGCTGGAGAGCAGATACCTGAACACGTGGCTAGAGAAGAGATCTAAACTGACAAGGTTGCTGGTGGCCAAGGCTGGGTCTTCTTCCCGAGGGTACCTGGACTTTAAGCGTCTAGAATGGGGGCCACAGTGAGGTTTGGGGGCTTAACTACCCCATGACCCAAGAGGTCTTTTAGGAGTTGCAGTAAATTTCCAATTGCAAGTCCAGCTTGAAGGGAGTGGGGAGGCGGCACCCATGAGTAAGATGTTCATGCCTGGATAGCATGAGGCATCTGGAGGAAGTCCGAGAGCCCTGAGTGCCTGTGACTTGGCAGGAAGAGCCCAGCTCTAACCCTCCATGCCTGGCACACTAAGTCTCTAGGATATCGCTGGTTCGAATATGTAACTATGTCTGAATAAGTCATCTTAGCAAATGATCTTTTGCTCCCCATTAACGGGCTGGTTCGTTAGTCATGTGTGGTTTCTCTGTATATCTGATTTATCTTCGCTAGAGCCAGGGACAGGTAGGAAAATTAAAAGGCTTTCTGTGCTTTGTAGCATGTGAATCTGAGCCGGTGAGATGTTTGGGATAATTAATATTAGGAGCACCTCACATTTAAATAGCTTTCCCTTGAAGCGCTCTGTTTAAGTTGCAAATCCATTGAAGATTGTTTCCTACCCCCCCCACACCACCCCCCGCCCCCCATTCTTCACTTTCACACCTGCCCTGGTCTGTTACACACTTAATAAAGACAGGAAGGCTGGCCTGCAATAGCCGCAGGTCTCCTGGCAGACTTGACGTCCTAAGCCCAGCCACACACCTCGTCCTAAGAACTGAGGAGTGCAAAGGGAATAAAGCTCAGGATGTGCCCCACCAGGCGTAGGGCCTGAGCTGGGTGAATCTCTGCCTTCACTTTGCCGTGCTGCCGCTTTTGGGTGGATTAGGTGCTGGCATTCCAGGAACACTTGCTTTTCAAGCCTCACCTCCTTAACTCTGCCCTTAGTGTCAGGTCTAGAAACAAATAGTACAATGACTTTTAAAAGTCAGCTGTTTATTTCACAGCATAGTTAGCAGGGGGGTAAGGATATAGATTCCCCTGTGTTTTTCAGAGTGACTGATTTAC